AACATCACTTTTTAATGGGAAACTTATTCGAAAGTAATATGAACCAAAAGAAAGTGAAGTGGCGAATGTTCGAATAGATATCGTTGAATTCCCAACTATTTAAGTTTCATGGTAATTTACTCGAGTGAAAAGGAGTATGAACCTTAGAATATTTATTCTTTGGCTTGTGGTTATGGTTCATAATTTCTTAATTCCCAAATCCCAACACGTGTTGCATCACAATGCATGATTAGTTTACAAATCAAAAAGAGAACGGTGGAAAGGAATTGAACGGAAAGGGACAAAACGAAATCAATAAAGAAATAAAAAATGTCGTATTCGTCAATTCATCATTTGATCAATAATTCGTTTAAAAAGAACAAGGTTTAGTCAATATTTTACATGCAATAAATCTCTACCCCTCATATTATAATTTTTTTAGTAACGGTGGAACGTGTGCTTCATTATCGTCAATTTAAATTTTTTTTTTTTTTTACATTTAGTTGGATTAATAATTTTATCAATTTTTTAACCACATATTTTACGAGTTTCACCAACTTGTGACCTCCAAAAAGTTTATCATTCTATCTCAAACAAAAACTAAAATAGTTGAGAAGCTTCCATCAAGGATGCAATTAATTTCTTTTAATAGGTAGATAGAAGTTTCCTGCTTCTCTAAGGAAGATGAAGAAAAGGGACCAAAACCAAGTCAATAAAGAAATAAGAATTCGTCAATGTGTACTTCAATATTTTAATAATTCGTGTAAAAAGACCAAGGTCTAGTCAATATTTTAAATGCAATAAATCCTTATCCCTAATATTATAACTTTTTGAAACGATGGAGTGTGTACTTCACTGTCGTCAATTCAAGTTTTATTTTTTTAATTACACATTTTATTTGACCGACAATATTAGAGTTTGTTTGAGAGAGATTTTTGGGGGAAGAATTGATTTTGAATAGTGATATGATGGGAAATGTGTGGTTGAAAAAGAAGAAAAAATTATTGATGTGATGGAAAATATTATTTTATTGAAGAATGTGTGGTTGAAAATGAGAATTTTAATTGATTTTGAATAGTGATATGATGGGAAATGTGTGGTTGAAAAAGAAGAAAAAATTATTGATGTGATGGAAAATATTATTTTATTGAAGAATGTGTGGTTGAAAATGAAAATTAATTTACTGTAGAAAAATCTAATCCCTCCCAAACAGGGCTTTAATCAATTTTTTACCACGTTTTATGAGTTTCACTAACTTATAATCTTAAAAGAAAGTGAAGTGGCGGACATCCGAATAGATATCGTTGAATTCCCAACTATTTAAGTTTCATGGTAATTTACTTGAGTGGAAAGGAGTATGAACCTTAGAATATTTGACTTATGGTTTTTCCTCCCCATTAGTTCCCAAATCCCAACACATGTTGCACACGATTAGGTTACAAATCAAAAAGAGAAGGCCGTGAAGGGACAAAAACCAAATCAATAAAGAAATAAAAAAATGTCGTATTCGTCGATTCATCATTGCAATTAATAATTCGTGTAANTTAAATATAAAAATCTATTTATTATATTAAAATAATATTAAAAGTACAAAACGCATTATGACGCATATTCTCCGCATTGAAACGCTTAAACTTGTAATTTTTGATTCTCGACCTCGACGTATCGCAACGCGTTACGCATTTTAGAACACTGGCAAAAGACTAAGGTCAAGTCAATATTTTAAAATGCAATAAATCCTTATCCCTAATGTTATAATTTTTTAAAATAACATTATTTTTTTGGTAAGGATACAATATTTAAACCCGTAAGTGAATGTCTTGAAAAAAATATTTAAATAATATATACGTGGTCTTATCTAAAAATTTAATTTATTAGATGAAATCTGTTAGAACCGAAGCCCATCACCAAAATATAATTCCGAATAAGAAAAACTAAATTATTGTGTGATTGATTGACATAGAAAAACAGGAGACATTTTTTAATAGATAAGATGTCCTTCTAACTATGTTTTTAACTAAAGTTGTGATGATTACATTTCATCTTTTGAAAAGAAAAGGGAGAAAAAATAATCAAAAGAACCCTATTCCCACATTGTGGATTTCACAATAGTGTTTTGCAAGACTCGAACATTTTCATCTTTTTCTCATTCACTTTTCAAAAGACATATCCCTTCACCAAAAGATAAGTATATATATGAAAATATCGTGCATTGTAGCCAAGAAAAAGTAGCGTGGCTCAGCATTAAGATATGACAAGTTACCAAATGCAACGAAATTTAGAATTAAAGATATTTATTTGTTCCGATATCATAGTAAATCTATTTATTTAAGAACTTAAATTATTATTTAGAAAATACATTTTTACAAAGCAGTCTAAGCGACAATTGTTGGAATTTGGTTTAGAGAATGAAAATTTAGTTAAATATACAACTTTAAAAGCGACTTTATGCCAACTTCGGTCAAATATTCGGATTTGATCCGATAGTCAAATTATAAATATAAATAGACTAATTTGTTCTACTTGTTGAGTAGATTGTCGCAGTATATTTGAAATCTCAAAACCAATTCCGAATGAATGAAAAATTGTGGTCCGAAGTTGGATAAAAAGAGGAAAAACTAGCCAGAAAAAATGCCAAATCCATAGCTCGCCTAGGGCTCGAGCAGCAGGCGAGCAAGAAATGTTCTGTTGAATAGGTTTCACTGTTGCTCGAGCAATAGCAATTGACGCTTCCCTTCGTGAAGGGTGCGATGTTGGGATGTAACACTTCACTCACAACCCCCTTCTATAAATATGACACTTTGGACGTACATTATGCACAATATATCATTTGCATTGAGTATTACATAAAAAAACTCTTGTAAAAACTCTCCGGAAAATATTCCAAAATCATCTTCTCATAGAGGGAAGAATTTCGTTTGAGTTCACAGTTGTCTGTGATTTGAAGTGCTTCTACCACAAGTTGTATCTTGGGATACAAGAGCCGTAATTCGTTGGCATTGTTGTGGGACAATTTTGTCTTAAGAAAAAGTGTTAAATCACTTGCCTCGAATTTCGTTTTTCTCCTTTTTCTTCACTTTTTTTGACTTCAATTTCTTAGAGTTTAATTATGCACATGCAAATTAAATTTAAAATATTACTTTCTTTATGTAGAAGCTAACTTAACCTAGCTTCATCTAAAAATTATTCCAGCCAGCACGTTTAGAAAGTCGTCTATGTCAACAAATTAAAAAGTAGGAAACAGTCAGATCCAAAGTGAATGCAATCAATAAATGCCAACTGCAAAATGGAACTCGTTACATCTCAATAATACAGCACTAAATTGACAAGACAAGAAGTCATACTATTGGGTTGCTGTGTACACTTTATAATTGGAAATTATCGCATGTTTGAGCTCCATTTTTAATAAAGAATATATTTTGAAACAGTAGATTAATGAAGAATAAATGATTAAAAAATAAAGAAAATTTTGAATTTGCTTATAATATCATTTTATTAAAAAATGTTTAGTTAAAAAGAAGACAGAAGAAAAATGTATTTTAAAAATAATGAGATCAAGCATGGACTTAACGTGTTATGTATCGATTTGTATTTTCAACAATTAGGAATGCATTCATCATATCTCAAACTTTAAAAACTAGTAATTAAAGATCATAGTAACAATAAAATTGAGGTCACATCTAACGAATACAGAATTACACTGAACATCGACTAGTCGAAATAGAGTGGTTGTATTGAAAATTATAGCTTAAAGGTCACATTTTGTTACCAATGAATTAAGATCCTGCAAGAGGAATTGAATGTCAAAATCACAACCAATATCTCAAAAAGGAAATTACCATAAATGGGCATTTGTCCTGGTAACCAAAACAAACTACTGAGGCAAATTAAAGTTACTTTAAAAGTAATTTTGATCCGCTTTCAAGTTTTGGCCAACATGGCTATGAAAAGGAGAATACATGAAAGCGTCCATGCTGCTAAAGGTTTTCTTGATTATATAATTTATCTTTCATCAGCATTTCCTTCCTTTCAATTCCCATAACAGGTTTCAATTAGGGCTCCCTTCTGCGCATAAATGGCGGATTTGCTTGGAGGGGGTGCTATAGGTGTAGCTTTTGATCTTCTAATGCAAGCTATATTAGATGTAACAATTGAAGTAGCGACTTTCAATTCTGAACTCGAACACTTGAAATTGACTCTGATTTTGATCAAACCATTTGTCGAGGATATAGAGAAGCTAAACAAAGTGCTGAACTTCCGACAACAGGGAGCAGAGGAGCTCGCTAATCGGTTCAGAAAAGGCGAAAATCTCGTCCGCAAGTGCATGGAAATCAAATGGTGGAATGCGATCAAGAAGTATTCGTATGCGAAGAAATTGGAAAAATATGAAGCCTCGTTGCTGTGGTTTTTCCAGATAAATGTGCAGGCTGAGTTGTCCAGAGATGGCAAAATTGTTGCTGTGGGAGTAAAAGTTCTTGAGGAGAAAATGGATAAAATAATTTCTATCCAAGATAATGGTCGTAGTGTTAACTCAAATGGGTTTTCAGGTATTATTCTCCCTCCGAAATTGTACTTAGTTTTTGAATATAAATAAAACTTCACTTACATGGTGGTTTTATTAACGAAAAAAAATGGTGTTTTCAGGTTGGTGTGGTGTTCCGGGCGTTCCAGATTTTGTGGTTGGATTAGACGCGCAGCTTCAGGAACTGAAGGGGATGCTGCTAAAGGATGGAGTGCCAATTGTTGTACTTTCGGCTCCTGGTGGCTGCGGCAAGACTACACTGGCGAAATTACTCTGTAATGATGATGAAATTAAAGGTAATCAGTGAGTTTAATATTAAGGACCTGTTTGGCAGGATCCTTGTCTAATATTAAAAGCCTTGCCAAACGAGGCCTAGGATCCTTAATTTTTGTTACTTTTTCTTGTTCTAATTGACAATTTTTTTAAGAATACTTGCTATCTGCTTAATGGAAAAGACTGGTTTATTAAGAGTTTGGTGCTTCTTTTCTTGTGAAGCGCTCTTTAAACTTTATAAGAACGAGAAATCACAAGAAGATTGCTTGAACAAGAACAAGAACGAAATAGTCCTTTGTTCAGGAACCAAAATTGTTCAGATTAATCTTTAGAGTAGTCTATACTTGTTCTTCGTTTTGGGCTACCTCCATCAAACTACTCTTGCTCGTCTTTGAATAATGCATAAATTGTAACAATTAAGTTGTTTGTACAAATGAGTTTTGCTATACAAACATGGTGAGTGACAGGGGGGTTAAGGGGAAATTTGTCAACATTTCATTGAACAATTTGGAAAAAAAAAGCCATGCAAGTGCCGCTAACACAGCACTCATCAAAAACCTTGTCACCTAACCCTGTTCAAGCAGCATTATTTTTGTACAAATTAACTGTCCAGACAGCTTTATGACAGCACCTGTATGACAGTTTTTTTTTCCCTGCCCAACACCCAATGCAAACCTTCTAATGTTGAATTCTAGACATTTCCCTGTAAAACTCGTCAAAGTGCAAAGTGTAAAGATAAACATGATTAATGCTATAGTGTATCACTGACAGAATCTTATGTCTTGAACTTCGGTAATACTTTCCTTTATGATCTTGTATCCTGATTATCTCATGTTATGCATAGGTATATATGGGAATAATATCTTCTTTCAGACAGTCTCAAGAGCACCTAATCTCCAACTAATGGTTCAAAAAGTGTTTCAGAGTAACAAAAACCAGCAGGTGCCTATCTTTCAAAGTGACGAAGATGCAATGTACCAACTAGAACAATTTTTCCTGCGGCAAGTAGGACTAGCTCCCATACTATTAGTCCTGGACGATATGTGGTCAGGATCCGAGTCACTCATTGATCAATTCCTTCTTCCAAAACGTGGATATAAAATTTTGGTTACATCGAGATTTGTTTTTCCACAATTTGAATGGACTTGTAAATTGAATATGTTGAATCATCAAGATGCAATGACTCTATTTCATCATTATGCCTTCAAAGATGGGATCTGCACTGTGCAAAAACATCTTGTAGAAAAGGTAAAAAGCATTATCTCTGGTAAAATGCATCTTTAGGGCAGTTTACCAGAGACATCAATATTGAACTTAGTTCATTTTTCTGTATGTGGCTCAACTTTCTATCATATTATTATAGCATTTTACGTTACCCAAAACATTAAAGTAAACGTAGAGTGACAATTTTTCATGTCGAAACTCGTTTGGTTTGATTAAGATGTAATTTTTTTTTTTAAAAAAAAGCGAATAAGATGTTAACGAATTTCAACGGATTTTTTAGAAATCTATTCACTCTACTCTAAAACTTAACTGACGTTGCTCTTGGAATCTCATGGCAGGTGGTCAGAGGTTGCTCAGGATCTCCATTGGCCCTTACAGTTGTAGGCAGGTCACTCTATAGGCAGCCTGAGGTGAAGTGGATAAGTACAGTTCAAAATTGGTCCCAAGGGCAATCCATTTACGATACCAACATGGTTTTGCTTAGTCGTCTCAAAACCAGCTTAGATGCCTTGGATGGAATGGCAGTCCTCAAGAATTGTTTCTTGGATCTAGGTTTATTTCCTGAAGATCAAAGGATCCCTGCTGCAGCTCTTACGGATATGTGGGTGGAACTGTACAACCTAGATGAATGTGGCATGTATACCCTTATCTATCTCCTTGAACTCTCAAACAGAAATCTGGTTAATCTTACTCTTGTCAGGTTTGTGCCTTCCACTTCATCTTTCGAGGACTATGCTACATTTGGAGAGTCGATGTTCATCTGCACATGTGATTGTCGTTATGACACGCAAAAAGTGAATGTGAGAGAGTTAGGCAAAATGGTTAGTCTCTAGAGATGAAGACGATCTGAGACAATTGGAAAGTGGAATAGAATTATCAATGTTAATATGCTACAAAAAACAAGAGAAAGCGCAGGAAGCATGTGAACTGAACTTAGATAATGTGGCTGCAAGGCTACCTACATGACTTTTAGGCAGTTAATATGATCCATCCTTTGCCCTCATCCCGATTCTTTTGAGTGTAGAAAAAGGAAAAATATAAAAGCGGAATTATGACAAAAATAGAGGATTTAGTGTTCAAGTGAATTTGCTTCTTGGTAGAGATTATTGAAAAATATATGAATTATCCAGCGGAGCACTAGTTTCAGTGATATTGCTTCTCTGTTTAATATTTTTTGTTGGTAATATAATGATGTTACTGTCTAGTTCATACTGTTTGGCCGGATATTCGCTTTCCCTTCACTTCCTTTCTCACTTTAAGAACGTTGCTGAAGGTCAAATATTTATGCATAATTAGATAAGAGGGTGTTTCTTAGAATCTCGGGTGCTACTGCAACTACTGTTCCTCATAATACCACTGTCTTTGAATATGTCCAAATGCAAATCATTTTATTGGCAATTATTGGATATCATAGTTAATCTAGGTTTCTTTAACAAATTTCCAATGATGAACTTGTCTCATTCTCGGATGCAGAAAAGATGATCAGGATGCCATTGACTACTGCAAAGACCATTTTGTAATGCAACATGATCTTCTGAGGGAGTTGGCTATCCACCAAAGTAGACAAGGTTCCATAGAAGGGAGAGAGCGACTCATTGTGGAAATAAATAGGAATGCCTTCCCTGAGTGGCTAACTGATCAGAAGCAGCAACCCATCAATGCCCGCATTCTGTCTATCACTACAGGTTAGTAATCTTTCTTATTCTCCCTTTTCAATTATAGATATGTTATGTCGATACTCTCTTTTTTGCAGATAATGCATTCTGCTCAAACTGGTCTAACGTGCAAATACCTGATGTTAAGGTTCTAATACTGAACTTTCAAATCAAATTCTACACCTTACCCGAATTCATGGAGAGAATGAGCCGCCTGACAGTTCTATTAGTGACGAATTATGGTTTTACCCGAGCATACTTAGAAAACTTTCCACTGCCTAGTCAGTTAAACAATCTAAAGAGACTTCGGTTGGAGAATATTTCCATCCCATCTATTGCCACTTCCATACTGCAGCTAAAAAATTTGCAGAAAATATCCATGATCATGTGTGAGATTGGGAAGGCATTCGAAGAATGCACAATTTCAATCTCCAATACATGGCCAAATCTCAACGAGATAAATATCGAGTATTGTGACAACTTAGTTGAAATACCAGCATGGGTTTGTGGCCTTATCCATCTTAAGAAGATCAACTTGAGATACTGTCAAGAGTTGGTTACTCTTCCTCCAGAACTGGGAAATCTGACAAATTTAGAAGTGCTGAGGCTTCAGTCTTGTACACAACTTTTAGAGTTGCCGGAATCAATTTCTGGACTCCGGGAATTGAAGTTCCTTGATATCTCTGACTGTGTGGAAATGGACCACTTGCCTGAGCAGCTAGGTGATTTATGTGGGCTGCGAACAATACACATGATGGGTTGCACAGCTTTATCTGAGCTGCCGCCTTCTGTAATGGATCTTGTGCAGTTAGAACGTGTGATATGTGACGATGAAATAGCTTGTTTATGGCAATTTTACAGGGATAATCTGGATAAGTTGGAGATTGTTGTGGTAAAAGAAGACGTAAACCTTAACTGGCTTCACAAGAGACCTGCTTGAAAACTTTGTGGAGATTACTTGTTTCTCAAACTCAACAACGAATCTCACACCGCCCTCAGGGCCAGTTAAGGTAAATTACCTATCTTGAAAACTTTTGAGCTGCAATCTACGATTCTAAATAATTGTGCAATTGATTTACTTATATCTGTATTATTGGAGATATTGTAGGATGAGATTGGAAATGGCAAATGGTAATTTTGTCAATAAAGTGATTAGTTTTGTAAACGAAGTGGTAATCTTGAAGACTTGAACTGATCTCAACCCTAAGTTTTATCCATCTGTTTTTGTTCACTTGGTGCAATGTATTTGAAAAGGTGAAGTCATCAACCCAAAATATATTAAAAAATAAAAAACTGTGGTGGTAGGAGAGTTGAGAGTTACACTAAGGCTTCGTTTGATGCACCATATTTTTCATGAAAAATTTTCCAACTTTTGTAGTGTTTGATAGGCAAAATTTTCCCGGGAAAATGTTTTCCAACTTTCCAAATTTTCCACATTTTTGAGGAAAATAAATTCTTGATGTTTTGGTTGGTAAATATTTTCCAGTTTATTATTATTATTTTTTTTGGACAATTGGAAAAATTTTTAGACACAATGGTAAAATTTTTTTATTACTTTTATTGACAATTTCCATGCAAAACACATTCAAACGAATGGTATTTGGTATGGTAATTTTTTTTTCAATTTTTTTTTTTTGGCAATTGTAATAAATTCTAGACCCAATGGTAGAAAAAATATCACTTTAATGAACAATTTTCATAAAAACGAAGTCAAACGAACACCAAACTTTTAACATTTTTCATGAAAAATTATATCAATGAAACACAATTAATTACAATTCCTGGTAAAACAATTTCTAAGCAAATCAATTCTCTGTAAAACATTTTATTTTCACCCATTTTTCACCTTTGCAATCGAACATACCCTAAGTTCCTTAATAAAGCTCTTCACATGTAAAATAATAGAACGATACTTGGCCTCGGTGGAGGATCAAGCTATTATTGAATTCTCTAACTTGAGTAATTGCTAATGAAAATTTCATGAACATTTAGGATGTGTTTAATTAGCTTTATTTTTAATGAAAATGTCATTTTTTCATTGAAGTTAATACTTTTGGGGTGTTTTATTTTTTTATTCATTGGAAAATATTTTTCAAAAGTTTATCACGTGACCATGTTTTCTAACACTTCCCAATAACTCAATTTTATGAAAAAAAACACGACGTTTCGTCGATTATTGTTCATTCTTGAAGCTTTTTTTAATCCCAATTCATCTCTATCCATCCTCTACTATTCATATAAGGCTTAAGGGTGATTTGGACTTCTTCCTACCACATGCCCACAATTGTTGACTTTCTACCATTTCCCAGGAGAAAAAAACAAATCAAAAAAATAAAAATAAAAATCCTCAGATAATACTTCGCACTGTGTAGAGTGAATGCTCCGCACAGTGCAGTGCAATTGCTTTGCATTTATGCGGAGCATCACTCATCGTAGTGCGGAGTGAATGCTCCGCACTGCGCGGACCTTTGTTTTTTTTTTTTCACACAGTGAAAACAATAATATACGATAAACACATAGCCAAAAATAAAAAATAAAAAAAAAATCATTTGTATCTTGTTTATTTCAAAATTGTACAATACATTTAAAAATAACATTAACCAAATTTGCAAACACTTATTTTTAAATTTAGTTGATAACATTTGCTTACATTTTACACAAATTAAATACAATTTCACTTATTAATAATTTAATTCAAAAACATTAAAAAAATTAAACAGCTCACAATTGTTTACAAATTACAGGCCGATCCCCGCCCGAAGCGTTGCCCTCGAACCCTCGAGACCTGATTGGGCAGGTCGTTCCCGCCGAGGGTGTTCCCCTCGAACCCCCACGAGGGGCGTTGCCCCCTTGACTTTGAATCTCTTATTGCTTGTTGGGCAATCCACCGTTTATTGTTCATTTGTAAGCTTTTTTCCAAGAAGCAATCCACTGTTTACTTGATTAGTGTTCAAAATAACTTTCTTCCTTGTTCAGTGAAGCTCAAAACTTGAAGGATTCTCTTATCTGCGCAGAAGTCAAACCTACATTTGCATTTCCTTGGCATTATGATTATCACATAATATTTTCGCTCCTTTATTTTCCACTAAACTTTCTTCCTTGTTCGGTAGGTACTATAATATTTTGGTACAAAGTACAAATATGAGTTGTCAAACGTTAGCAAATTTAGAAAGATTAATATTATCCCCATTAAATTCTTCCTTAGAAAAAAATTTGGCTACCAAAACATTTTCATTTAAATCTTACTAGAATATTATCATTATGAAATTTTACTAATTATTATGTTACATAAAAACTTACTGAACTTTCACAATAATTTAGCTTTCCATTAATATTTAATACACTAACATTACCTTAAAAATACCAAACCAATAGTATATATAAAAATCGGAATATTCCATACTTGTCGAGTTCCCCATGGAAACATTATCATGTGTGGAAAACATTAAGCCCCTTTTGGTTATAAATTAAAATTCATAGGATTCACAACTTTTTAACCACATATTTCATCAATTTTTATCAAATTCTACTAAAAATTTGATTTTAATTTTCACCAAATAAGGACTAAATAAGACTTATTGAAAATAAATCTGTTAGTACTTACAGTGGCATCCGTTCAAAGTATGAACATTCTTTAATACTTTAAAAAAAAAAAAAAATAAAATTACAAGTTTAAATTTTGGGACTTGAGATATTATGATTAGGAGTGGCTTAGCCGAGCCGGCTCGACCCTAATGTCCACAAGCATGAGCAGAGCATAAGCTCGGCTTGTTATTTGAGGGGTGAGCTTGGCTCGGCCCTCGAGCTCGTGGGCCGAGCCAAGATTCGGCTCGCGAGTTCATTAATTTTTTTAAAAATTAAACCATCCTCTTTTATTTGGGATTGGAACCAATTACTTAAATTTTGAGTATGCGAATTTAAAGATTGTACATGAACAGCTTATTTCGTGTAAATTTTTTTTTAAAAAATTAAAAATAATATTATAAAATAACAAATTTTGATTAATATGATTAAATTAAATATCACTTACCCGACGACGTACAATTTCGACATATTTATCTTGCAATAAAAAATAAGCATCTTTCCAATCTTTCACGAACATTAATCCTTTTAAAATATCTTCTTTGAGTAGGCTCCTGACCTCGGACAAAACCCTCTTATCTGCACTAAAAGTGGACTCCGAAGTTACAGTGTTAATCTGAGGTGTTAGTAGATTTTTTGGAATCGCGAAAACTACTAGCAATCGTCGTTCGTACTTTCGTCGGAATTCAATTACTTCTTTTGAATTTTTTGAATTATTTTTTTATTAGGCATATTATGATTAAAGTAATCAATTAATTCAATAGGCAATGCATTTGATTACATGCGGTAGACAAATTACTACTAGAGGAACCATTGCATTTGCATCATATCTGTACATATTAATGCCTTCGAATAAAGATAATATTTCAGTTTCGTCTTCTTCAATATCAGTGGAAGGAGTAGGTGCTGAGGGTACCCGACTAATATTTGTATCCATTCGTTCTGCATTTAATTCATACATTTTACATAAACTTTGTTCTAAATTTCTATAAGTGAAGTGTATTAAAAATTAATGCTCTTGAAATCTGATCAATTACATATTTAGTATTTGATAAATTGTATCAAAGATCTATGATGCATGCTAAAATAAATAGCATAGGCAAGTCTTCCCAATAATTTATAAACTTTAATTTTATAGAATATATATTTGCACTAAAATCAGAGTCATTTTTGTATAAAAGAAAAGTCCTTGCTATTATATAAAAACGTTCAAGCACCGTACATCTAGTTAGATAGTAAATTCCAGATAAAATATTTGAGTCATAAAAAGTTGTTAAGTTTTTTTTAATTTTAAAAGTTAAAAGTCCATCGGATTCATTCAAAGTTGTTTTACCAACGTTTCTAATATGCATATTGTTATAAAATTCAGTTATTAAATGTTTAGAATATTCGCATGATTTTAATAATAAGTAAGTGGTGTTTTATCTATGTCCTACGTCACTAACAAATGTTTTCGTATTCGTCACTCCAAATTAGACACAAAATCCCTCAAAAGCTTATTTTCTACTAGATGAAATCGTAATATATACTAATGCATTCTTAGTTCTTTGAATTTTATTTTTAATATGTTTCAGACCATCATGTACAATTAAATTAAAAATATGACACACACGACGAATATGAAACAAATAACCATCGAAATCGAACTGCAATACCCTACATAATTTATCGATAACTGCCTTATTAACACGAGCGTTGTTGGATGTAAATGAACGAATTTTACTCCCACAATGATATTATCTAATAATGTTCATAATAGTGTTATTTATATTGTTAGCGTTGTGAGGGAACTCAATAATTTTAAAAGTAATAATTTTTTTTATGCATACACCAAAGTGGAGTCTATGTAGTGTGTATTTGCAGTTATATAAACTATTTTATTAGTCCCTTCACATATATCCAAAGTTAAAGATAACACCCTCATATTTTTGCAAAATGGTAAATAATTGTTTTTTTGTATGAAAGAAATATTCTATTGTATTCGAACGAATAGTGTTTCGACTTACCCCAATGTACCTCGATTGATTATATTCTTTCACGCATGCGACGAAATGTTAGTTGTCCGCTATTGCTAGAGGCAATTCAGCAGTGGCAATGAATTTTACCATCCCCGTTAGAGCTTTTTCCTTTGAATTATCCACGTGAAAAAGTAGAACCGACGCCTAGATTACCAAATTGTAATTGTGTTTGACAGGCAGTGAGAAGCCCATATTTGGCTGCACGTGTTTTGTAGTGAAAGTTGAGGTGGGTGATACTAGTGCCTTTTGGCCATGCCAATTGTTGTTGACAGTATTTACATACTGCTTTAGACTCATGGACTCCATCGACCACAGGACCCGTTGGATTTAATTTAAAGTG